ACATACTTTTCGTGTTTGTGAACACCTGGTGTCATCACTGATTTTTGCTCTTTTATCTGCAGACTGTTTATATTTCTGGTCTTCTGGCAATATGTGTTGCCAATCGTGTTAATCTCGTGCAACAACGAGCCAAATAGTTCTAAGAAACTCAACCAGATTTGTTGTTATCGGGTGGCGTCTCACGTCTCCCGTCACTTCACGTGCGCTGCACCTGTCACCAACCCGTCTCGAAAGTCCGGGTACATGTGTTTCAAAGTTCGGTAAAATGCTTCAGTGAAATGCCAAGATAGGCGTAGTCATACGAAGATATTTTAATACATCAAGATATACTTGTGCTGATTTCAATGTCCAGGTAAAATATACTCCAATTCTATTCCACATAATTCACGACTATATAATTTTAACCATATGTATTTTCTAAAGGGGAGATAAATCAATTATGGGGCAAGCGGGCGGTTTTTGGACCAAGGGGAGGCAATTCGACGATGCAGACAAGTAGGCATACCGTGAAAAAATCCCGGAATTACTGTTTAGATGAGACTAAGGTTGTTGTACCTTCAGGTTTGACAACTGAACGATGAAATACATACTGTAACGGGCACTCCTTGATATACTGTATGGGGCATATTTTGCATGTGATAGTGCATGCCATATTGCATGGGGTATTGTATGACATATTGTATGAGATATTGCATGGAACATGGCACAACATACCAAATTAGGCATTGCATGATTGTTCTGCATACATTGTATGGGGTATTGCATGACATTGTATGGGATATTGCATGACATACTGTATGGGGTATAATGACATATGACGTATTGCATGAGATATTGCATGACATGTTGTGTGGGGGTATTGCATGAGATATTGCATGACATGACATATTGTATGAGGTATTGCATGACATTGTATGGGATATTGCATGACATACTGTATGGGGTATTGCATGACATATTGTGTTGGGTATTGCATGACATTGTATGGATATTGCATGACATATTGTATGGGATTTTGCATGACATATTGTATGGGGTATTGCATGAGACAGTGTATGGCATATTGCATGACATATTATGTGTGGGGTATTGCATGACACATTGATATTGCATGACATATTGTATGACATATTGCATGGAGTATTGCATGACATATTGTATGGGGTATTGCATGACATTGTATGGGATATTGCATGACATACTGTATGGGTATTGCATGACATATTGCATGTCATATTGAATGAATGGTTATTGCATGACATTGTATGGGGTATTGCATGACATTGTATGGAATATTGCATGACATACTGTATGCTGTATGGCGTATTGCATGACATATTGTATGGCATGTATCTGGGATATTGCATGACATACTCTATGGGGTATTGCACGACATATGACATATTGTATGGGGTATTGCATGACATTGTATGGGATATTGCATGACATATTGTATGGGGTATTTTATAGGTATTTTATATGGCATATTGTATGACATTGTATGTGATATTGCATGACATATTGTATGGGGTATTGCATATGGCATATTGTATTGGGTATTGCATGACATACTGTATGGGGTATTGCATGACATTGTATGGGTATTGCATGACATATTGTATGGGATTTTGCATGACATACTGTATGGGGTATTGCATGGCACATTGTATGTGATATTGCATGACATATTGTATGGGATATTGTATGGGGTATTGCATGACATTGTATGGGTATTGCATGGCATACTGTATGGGGTGCTGTGTGACAAATTTGGAAATTTTAATATAAATTTTATATTTATATACTTATCCTATCTCACGACTTGCACCTCTCTCTCTTGCTTCGACTTTTAGTGGAACGACCGAAACTTTTTCCCATAGGCCTCCTTGTCCATTCGCCCGTGCACTCCATGCTGCTCTCCTTAATTAGCTTCCTAGTTCCTAATAAAGCTTGCAGCATGCTCCACTAATTGCCCACGTGACTACCTTGAATGATCATTCTCATCTTGGAGCCAACGTTGTAATGTGAGCAGTGGGGAGGCCGGGCGTGCATCCATCACGTGAGATAGGATAAGTATATGATATACAATTTACATTAAAATTTCCAAATTTTTAAACTTATCCTATCTCACGACTTGCCCTTATTATATCCCATGGTTGGACGGCGGGCCGCAGATTACCCTTCTGTCTGGACAGTGCGAATAGCTGGTCTTGGAGCTGTGTGGACTGATGACAACCGTAGATAGCGATGTACAAGGGAGGCCTGTTACGCATGCACGCAACTCCTATGCTTGTAGTGGGTTCTCCGGAACCCCTTGGCTTATTTGGCACGACTCCCAGGGAGATGGGTGCTCCCGAGCGATGTGGTGTTCGGCCGCAACCTTGTACAAGACAAAGGACGCAACTCGGCAAGTAAGCCTCGCCTCGCCACGATTTACAAGGTACCCCCATAATTAAAGTCTTGCGACTAGAATTGGGCCAGCCCCTGCTTCAAGAAGGCCCCCCAGACACCGACCGAGGCGGGTGAAAGAGAAACACAACTCGGCATCTCCAAGGTTTAACGTTCAGTTCCGGGCAGCATTAAATCGACCCTCACTCCTTTGCCTAAGCTTAGTCAAAGGATGTGCCTGGCAACTTTGGAGGCAGAACGCAACGAAATCCACTGGAATTCGGGAGTGTCACACTTCCCTGATGTAATTGCTCTGTGGAGTAGAGGTCAGTAAGCGTGAATGTCGAACACCTGCATCGTCATACTGATTGTGCCTCAGGTCTGTAGGGCCACGCTAGGTGGCCGTATTCCGATGCCTTGGTATGGAGGCCAAGTGAAGTAGTTCTTAAACCCATATAATGAGAACAAAAGGTTGAGATCCAGTTCAAGTTTTATTCAGTATATACAAGGAAGTAGTAACGCGAATGCGGAACTGTCACTCATCTGCGTTGTTGAGCCGATGTTAGCTGCTGAGCCAGTACAAGAGGTCCGAACTGGTGTAGTCCCTGGACATTCGTGACAGACAGGTCTCGCATGTGAAGAGAAGACTGTATCAGAACGCCAGAAGCAACCTTCCATGATAGCGGTCAAGGAGCAGTTGCTATGGAGGGCCATCGTCGAGGCTAGTGCACGAGTCTCATGAGGATTGGAAGCGGCTGGAGGAGGCAAACCTGCAAAGGTGTAGGCTCGCAGGATCGTGGCACGCATCCAGAAGGCCAATGTGGTCCGGGAAACCTCAGTTCTTGAAGCAGTCGACAAGGGTATGAAGAGGCGCTTCCATAGCTGTCGACGATCCTTGGAGTCAGCAAGGTAAACGTGTAGAGCCCTAACAGGGCAGAGTGTCAAATCTTCATTATCGGCTAGGTTATCTGGATCTATCCGGTGATCTGATTCGAAGTTGTGATCTGGACCCGTTTGGTGATCTGGATCGGTTAGGTGATCTTGATTGATCAGGTGATGTGGATCGTAGTTGTGTTCTGGATCGTGACTGTGATCTGGATCGATCCGGTGATCTTGATCGGCACAGTGATCTAGATTGGGCTTGTGATGGTGATCTGGATCGTGAAGGTGATCTAGATCGTTGTGGTGATCTAGAATGATGTGGCGATCTGGTTAGGCGATTAGGTGACGAAACCTGAAGTGTTGATTCATGATGAACGTCCCCCCGGCGACGCTGTTGTAGCCAGCTCAGTCCGGTTCAATGAACTGTGGGGAGACAGTTGGCTGGTTGAACGCGGTTGGCCAGGCTCCATACAAACTGAGACAGTCGAGGGGATATGTACCGATGATCTGGATGATGATAGTGTCGATCTAAGGTCCCCTGGTAGTGTAGATGGGACAAGCAACGAAGACTTACGATCACAACCACCCGCGAGTGATCTGACGCTATGGAAGGAGGTGATTGATGTAATAGGTGCTGAACGTCCTCAGATAAGTAAGAATCTGATGAAGCGTCCATAAAATCCTCTTGAACCACAGCTGTCGCTCTCTTGCGTGAAGGTATGATTTTCTGTCGCTGTAGCTTGAAACGCTTGGCGTGAGTGGGATCAGATTCTGTTGATTTCCTGTCCCTATCGGCGATTCGAGCAAACACGAAGGTAGACCTTAAAATCCTCATCTTTTAGTGAATTACACTTGCCACATCGTTTGTTCCAGTTACATTGTCCAATACAGTCACTGCAAGACGAGTGAGGGTCGAGGGACGAATAATTCGTCTTGCATTGAGCACAAACTTTCCTTTTCCTTGACTGATTATCTGTTTTCCCCATGATGTTAGGGTGAAATAATGTTCCTAATATACAGCACGTCCACGAGGTCGTGCGACAAGAAAGAGAATGATCATTCAAGGTAGTCACGTGAGCAATCAGTGGAGCATGCTGCAAGCTTTATTGGGAACTAGGAAGGTAATTAAGGAGTGCAGCATTGATTGCACGGGCGAATGGACAAGGAGGCCTATGGGGAAAAGTTTACAGTCGTTCCACAAAAAGTCGAAGCAAGAGAGGGGTGAGGTGAGGTGAAATTGGGTTTAAAGTCGTGCTTGAGAATATTTCGCTCATATGACGACGTGCATGCGTGTGTATGTGTATGTGCGGCTGCTTGTACTAGCCCAGACTGAAGCTGGTTTTATAGTGCTAGCCCACTGTCATACCATGCCGCAGTGAAGCATGAATACCCCACTCAGACGCATTATACTGACTCCGAGCCGACCAGTCCTTGTTGTACCCATTAATGCCGAGCGACCAGGCCATATTTTAACGGGACCAACAGTTTAGTACAGCATATTTTAATGTCTGTTTTGGTCTGACCGGTCGGGGATCGAATCGATCTGCACAATTGGGAACCGACCTTCCGCTCTCCCGTTAGGGACAAGATAGTCGCCGCTTTTCATGGCAAGCACATGGGTTGCTGAAGACCTATTCTACCCGGATCTTACACCACGGAGGCGGTCATCGAAGAGACCTTCCGGTGCAAGTCGTGAGATAGGATAAGTTTAAAAAAAATTACAATTTCACTTGGCATATCAATTTTATTCCGTAATGTTGTTACAAATCTATTTTTGTTATTAGAGAAAGGTGTACATGTATATTAGAGAAAATATATTACAATATTCACAACAAAATGAAATACTAGTAAAAAAATACAAAAAGGGATTTTCCGATAACGAACATGAATACATGCAACCATCCTGTTCTTGTGATACATAAAAGGAAATGAAACGGAGTGAGACGTTGAATATCATGGAGGGATACATGGGATGTCTGGAGAGGTACGTGATCACTCAATATAAAAGTCTGCATAAACCATCCCGACTACATCATAAGGATGTTATATAAATCACAAACACTGACGCTGCCAGTTGTTGCCGGAACCATGGTAAAACCCGTTACAACACACGCAAAGTCAAGTCAATTATCCACACAAGAAAAACATGGTAGAATCAATATGAAAATAGTCCTGAGGTGGTTTGATCAACAACTGCATGACGCTCTTTGAAATCTTGAAATTTCATCCTAAAAAGTAACTTTGTCGTGTTTTGAGTGCTGGCAAAACGCTCGGATCCCCTCCCGCCATCTGACGACGACCTGTACAGTCTTTGATTACTATTAGGAGCTTCAATTCATCCTTTAGGGTTCGATGTCGAGCATTTCTCATGTCAATGAACATTAACCGGGCCTGACCACCCAAACGTTTTTACGCCAGGCATATATGTATGTGACCATTTTCACCAGTGTAACCATGGTGGTTGGTTGGTTGGTTGGTTGGTTGGATGGATGGTTGGTTGTTATTTAACGCCACACTATTCCAGCTATATGACGACGGTCTGTAAATAATCGAGTCTGGACCAGTGATCAACAGCATGAGCATCGATCTACGAAGTTAGGATACGATGACATGTGTCAACCAAGTCAGCGAGCCTGACCACCCGATCCCGTTAGTCGCCTCTTACGACAAGCATGGGTTATGAGGACCAATAAAAGGCATCATCTAATGTAAGTAAATTTTAGATGTGCACTCGACAAAACAATTGTTATGGTATGGAACGTAATCACACATACCTGATTTACAGGTATTACGTTATAAAACCTTCAGCGATACAACATATTCATAAAACTGACAAAACTAATAATCATTACGAAATTCCGCCCTGCCATCAAATGGATATTGATATATGCTCTGGGAAGATATATGCCGCGAACAAGATATACACGCCTGGTGTAATACATATATATCATACATCCAAACTGAAGCTAATTTCCATTGTCTTTTACACAAGGAAAAAATCTGATAAAGGTTCCTCGTTGAAGGTCCGTACTGGCCAATCGACGGTAGTTAAATCCAGGTGATCATATCGTCAAAACATTGCACTTCTCCGACACTTCACTACTGAATTTGTTGGTCCGGAAAAGTTGAAATGTTCGTTTCTATGGATAACTGTCACCGTACCATGTGATGTTTCTTTCGTATCTGGTTTTGTTATATATATATATAGTGTCTGGGAACTTGTGGATCGCTTACTATAGCAAACGTGTGAACCCTTCAGTTTACACACAGCTGTAGATTCTGTTGCAGAAACTCTTGATGTTCATCGTCGTAGCAAAGGCTGATGCTACGCTAATGTCGTGGAGTCATTATTCAAGACTGATGGATGCCAAGAGTTCATCCTTTATAGATTGTTGGGGTTCTTCTGGTAGGATACTAAGTAGCTCCCCGATCTAGACTTATCTCCCTTGTCTTCGTCTTTTCGCCATATGGATGAGATTTCTTCAATTGTTCTGCCTTTCGTTTCTGGTAGGAACATGAATACGAATATCCAGAAAAGTATGATCAAAACTGTGAAGGGTACGAAGGAATAGCTCATCAGTCCTTTCTGGAAAGACAAAAGAAAAGAAAATATCTTAGAAAATGTCGCTCAAGGAAAATGCTGCTGATAGTTGACTTGCCTTTGCAAGTGTTTGTCACAGGTACAACCTGTGGGGCATAATACGGTCACCTGGTATAACCACTATTTGATAGGGCCTGGAGTGAGTGAGTGAGCTGGGTTTTACGCCACCTTTAGCAATATTCCAGCAATATCACGGCGGGGGACACATGCATGCTCGTCATACTGATTTTCGTAAAACTCACACACCAAATTGTACCAAGTGGGGAATCGAACCAGGCCTTCGGCGTTACGTGAGTGAGTGAGTTTAGTTTTACGCCGCACTCAGCAACATTCCAGCTATATTGCGGCGGTCTGTAAATAATCGAGTTTGGACCAGACAATCCAGGTATCAACATCATGAGCATCGATCTACGCAATTGGGATACGAAGACATGTGTCAACCAAATCAGCGAGCCTGACCACCCGATCCCGTTAGTCGCCTCTTACGACAAGCTTCGGTTACTGAAGACCAATTCTAACCAGGATCTTCGCGGCTTGGGACCTCTGTTTCTTCCTTAGGGGTCTAATCGTGTTAATTCCTAATTTCGATCTTGGCATTGATATGGTAATGTACATTTGGAGACTGAAGCAATAGGGGTGACTTTCAATACTTTTACCTGCATTTGGGGAAAGGCATACCCAACACAGAAGTTGGCCACCCAGTTGACGAGGACAGACACGCTGATGGCAGATGATCTCGGTCCCTGAGAGAACAACTCTGCTACTATCAACCAGGGTATGGAACCTTGAAAGAAGAGAATTATATATTTTTTTTTTTAAAACATGACCTGAAGCACTTTTAAGCTAAAACACATTATTGATCTTACAATCAAACTTACGATTTTAAGCATGGTAAAAAGGTATGGCGGTATAACTATCATTTTACAGAGGTACAGAGTACCAGTTGTCCAAGGCAATGAGTGAGTCGTTGAGTGAGTGTATTTTCACGCCGCTTTCAGCAATATTCCAGCAATATCACGGCGGGGGACGCCAGAAATGGGATATCGAACCAAGGATAAGTTATCGCTTTAACCACGAGGCTACCCCATCGCTCTAATTGTCTAAGAAATGCATCCATTCGGGCTTTCACTTTGTTAAATAACTGAAATATTGTAGAACCACACACACCTGGCCCTAAGGCGAAGAAGACGACGAACAGGAGAGACACAGCGATACTTGCCACTTTAAACCACTCTACCCGGTCCTGAAATATCGAAAGCGTTGCCGGTCATATTTAAAAAGAACACGATGTTCATGTTTATGTTTGATGTGGTAGAAGTGTCGCTAAAACAGAAGTGTTTTACGCTCATTATTTCTGAAATTTCTAATACGTAAAAAACACTATGTTCATGCTCATGTTTGATGTGGTACAGATTTAAAATAGAAATGCATTTGCTCAAACATTTCTGGGAGTCAATTGTCAGGCGATGGTCATGGCTTAGATTCCAGGTCTTCGAAAAGTTGACAGTATAGATGTGTGATGCGTTTTGGACTCTCATTTATTAAAATATTTTGTTTATTTGGGATTTTTGCTGTTGCTGTTGCTGTTGCCTTCTCAGCAATTATCCAGCTATAGCTACAGACGGCGGTTTGTAAACAATCGTGTCTGGACCAGACAATCCAGTGATTGACATCATGAGCAACGATCCAGCAAATGGGATAGATTACGTGCAACAACCAGGTCAGCAAGCCTGGCATCCGATCCCTCCATCGACAAACATGAGTTCCTGAAGACCAATTCTAAACCGGATCTGCACGGGTTTTATAAAATGTGAAAGTAATTGTCGTAACATGCATCTTATATTTTTTAACAAAAGGAACCTTATGCTCACAAATTAAAATTTGTTTACTCTTGTAATCGTAACTATTCAAAATTGTTTACTTTCTATATAGTTAAAGTTCAACTTACCAAAAGCGAGAGGCACACTGTAATTAATATGCTAGACACGGCCATTCCGCCTAGACCAATCAGATGTAGAGTTCGTCGACCAACCCGGTCCATGAGTGGAATCGTCACCAGTGTCATGACAACCATGACCGCTCCCACCCCGCTCGTGGCGTGTGTGGCGGTGGATTCATCTAGCCCCGCCCCTTTGTAGAGATTCCCGGAATAGTAGAATATCTGTAACGAAAATCTGATGTCTTAGTGAGTAAGCAGTGAGTGAGTAAGCTTAGCTTTACGCCTCTTTTAACAATATTCCAGTAATGTCACGGCGGGGGACACCAGAAATGGGTTTCGCACATTGTACTCATGTGGGGAATCGAACCCGGGTCGTCAACGCGATGAGCGTAGGCTTTAACCACTAGGCTACCCTACAGCCCCTCTGATGTCTTAAGTTCTACAACATTAGATAATCTGATTAAACAATACAGGTTCACTAATTATTTTTATGTGTGTCGGTTACATTTGTAAATGCTCGGAGAGGGCAAGGTCGTCGTGTCGATCCACGGCGTATTTTGTATGAGTGTGTGTGTTTTTGCGTGCATGCGCGCGTGTATGCGTACGTGCATGTGTATGTATATAAGGGCTCTGCAGATATAAGCTGTATCTGTGTCTCTTTAGGTGCGCTCGGCAAAATGTAATATGATCGTATTTCTGTACCACTTTCCAGTAATTAAACGTCTCTCAAACGTCTCCGTTTGAATAACGTGACTTACCGCGACAATTCCTGAGAGTTGCTGCGAGAGGTGCATGACGATACTGATGACAAGGGGCATGCGCAGAGATCGCTTCTTGAACAGCCTGATAACGCTAACCTGGAAATATACGTCATCAAGTGTGTGAGTGAGTTTAGTTTTGCGCCGCTTATATCATTATTCCAGTGCGGGAAACCAGAAATGGGCTTCCGAAATTGTACCAAGTGGGGAATCGAACCAGGGCCTTCGGCGTTACGTGAGTGAGTGAGTGAGTTTAGTTTTACGCCGCACTCAGCAACATTCCAGCTATATGGCGGTGGTCTGTAAATAATCGAGTCTGGACCAGACAATCCAGTGATCAACAGCATGAGCATCGATTTGCGCAATTGGGAACCGATGACATGTGTCAACCAAGTCAGAGAGCCTGACCACCCGATCCCGTTAGTCGCCTCTTACCACAAGCATAGTCGCCTTTTGTGGCAAGCATGGGTTGCTGAAGACCTCCTCTTCCCCGGATCTTCACGGGTCCTCGGCGTTACGAGGGAACCATATAACCCCGACGTGGATCAAGAAACTTTTAATTTTGAGAAATGAGTTTTATTTTTTTGTTTATTATCAAACGTGTACCTTTTCACGTACCATTGTAGCTGTTGTTCGTAATAGACACGGGTTTTAATCATTGCAACACTAACCGAGACCGACCTTCAGTTCATCCAGGACAATCCAGACTTACTTTAGCCTCGCTTTGAGCTTGTTCAGCCTCGATTCTCATCTCCGATATCTCTCCATCTACGTCATCGATTCCGCGAAGCGACCGCAGCACTGAAAGCAATGCATTGATTTGATCTTTACCATTACTAAATCGACTGCAATATTCATCGCACATTCATTGAAAACAGGATCTCAGGGCTATGAAATTTGAGGTGAGGTGAGGTGAAATAGGGTTTTACGTCGTGCTTGAAAATATTTCGCTCATATGACGACGTGCATGCGTGTGTATGTGTATATGCGGCTGCTTGTACTAGCCCAGACTGAAGCTGGTTTTATAGTGCTAGCCCACTGAGATACCATACCGCAGTGAAGCATGAATATCCCACTCAGACACATAATACTGACTCCGAGCCGACCAGTCCTTGTTGTACCCATTAATGCCGAGCGCCAGGCAGAGACCAACAAGTACCATATTTTAACGTCTTTTGGTATGACGGGGTCGGGGATCGAACCCGCGACCTTCCGTTCTCCGGGCGGACGCTCTTACCACTACACCATGGAGGTCTATGAAATTTGAAAAGAAACTATTAACACAAATCCCTTCTCGTGGAATACAAACCTATTTCAATTAAAAGATAAAGCTACTGTTTTCAATTTTGCGGTCCTTTATCGTTGATTTAAGACCGAAGTGATTTATAAACCGAACGCGTTTCGGGGTGTAGAAACCTATTTCAATACCTGTTACAGGAGGGCGGGGAGATGGGCGTGAGGTGTGGGTGGGGGTGAGTTGAAGGTCAAAAGTAACAGTATCCCTCGTCTTACTCCGCCCGAGACATATTTTGTGTGTGTGATTTACACTGAATATCAACAAACCTGTTTGTGCAGCAAGTTCTTGGCCTTTTGAGATCAGCAGATATCGTGGACTCTCCGGGCAGAACGGCATGACTATCAGCTGCAGGACACAGGGTGTTGCCGTCAAGCCTGACGAAATGACAAAGATAAAACGTGAGTTTGTGTGAGCTTAGTTTTACGAGGTTTTTAGCAATATTCCAGCAATATGACGGCGGGGAACACCAGAAATGGGCTTCACACATTGTATCCATGTGGGGAATCGAACCCGGGTCTTCGGCGTGAAGAGCGAACGCTTTAACCACTAGGCTACCCCACCGCCCCCCAAGATAAAGGAATTGAGTTCAAATTACACATCACATCACATTTCAGGCATAAAACAAGATAAACTTTTTGTGTGAGTGAACGCGAGGGAGCGAATTGGGTACGAAGCCGCCTTGAACAGTATTCCAGAATCGAACCCGAGTCTTCGGCGTGACGGGCGAACGCTTTAACCACTAGGCTACCCCACCGCCCCCAACACATCTAGATGCATATCGGGATGAATAAGGGTTTTAAGCACAAACCCGTGAATACCCCATTAGACCTGGTCGTCAGCAACTCATGCTTGTCGTAAGAGACGACCAAACGGGATAAGGTGGTCAGACTTAGCTGACTTGGTTGATGCATGTCTTATTCGCATTACAAAGATCGATGCTCATTATATCAATCACCGGATTGTCTGGTCCAGACTCCATAATTTACAGACCGCCGCCATATAGCTGTAACATTGCCGAGTGCGGTGTTAAACAACAAACAAGCAAACATTCGCAGAGGAAATAAATTTTATAATGACGCTGTGACGTGTCATTTGTCATTTACGAGACGACACGAGATGATACGAGATATTCTGAAGATGCCTTACTTCCACATAACCCAAAATGTACTATGTCTTCAAATTACATGTTAATATTTATATATAGTCTGCTATTTGCTAAAAAATGCGATATATAATAATAAGAATAATTACAAAAAAAATCCCGGGTTGTAGCGGAAATCGATAGAGTTTACATTATTATTCAAAACATAATTATATATGATACAAAGGTCTTGTAAAAATTTCACTGAAGGATTCTAAACGTATATTTTGTTCATTTATGAACTATTATCATTCTTACCCAAGAGAACGTCCCAGTATGCGTTGTTTCCTAATATCTCGGGGAAGCCGAGAATTTGCGAGATTAGAATACCGGAAACGACAAATAGCTGATGCAACACACCCAGAGCTCCTCTGATGTCAACTGACGCGATCTCGCTCAGGTAGATAGGTGCCAGAGCCGTGTAGAGACCTGTAAGTATGTAGATATAATCTGTAAACGTTGTCCAGCAACCCGGGAACAGCTGGGTTAGATTTGATCTTCAACAAACCTCAGTAACCCATGCTTGTCGTAAGAGGCGACTAACGGGATCGGGTGGTCAGGTCGCTGACTTGGTTTTCTTTTGAGATGCACAGTTACATTGCAATCCCATAGTTAAAACAACTATTAACGTCTTGTGCAGATATTTTTTCAATGTGATTGCCTTGGGTTTAACTGACTGACTGAGTTTGGTTTTACGCCGCTTTTAGCAATATTCCAGCAACATCACGGCGGGGGACACCAGAAATGGGCTTCATACATTGTGCCCATGTGGGGATTCGAACCCGGGTCTTCGGCGTGACGAGCCAACGCTTTAACCATTAGGCTACCCCACCGCCCCGCCTTGGGTTTAAGGTGAGTGAAGTATGGTTTTAAGCCACTTTAAAAATAAAAAACCCATTCCAGCAAAAGGACAGCGAAGGACAAGAGAAATAAGTTCCACACATTGTACCCATATGGGGAATCGAACCCTGGTCTCCCTCGTGACGAAGACAGATTTTAACCACTAGACTAAAAAACGCCCCACAGTCACGTATATTCTTGCATACGTTTAACTGATATAATTCTTCAAGAGGGACATATGATACGTACACGTGTTCCTGTTATCCAAATATTTCCTAATTTTTCAATAGAAATGTTTCCCCTTCAGTCTGTTGATATAGTAGAAAAATTCATTTTGACAATGCAAAAAATAAATTTCTGTTCAAGTCAACTTCTGACACAGATCATCATCATCATCATCATCATCATCATCATCATCATCATCATCATCATCACCATCACCATCATCACCATCATCATCATCGTTGTCGTTTTATGATCGCGTTCAGCGTTTACATAATGAATGTAACGCGTATCACTTTACAACATCAAACTACGTAGTCGCCATTTACACAGATCAAATGATAAGCTATAACGATAAAATACATCCTCATCCGCTAAGTAGGACCTGAGAAACGTATTAAAACATTCAGATACACATACCACAGTTGAATCCCACGACCAGCCTCCCCACAATGATCATCTCGTAGGTTTCCGCCATTCTGCCGAAGTACAACAGTGCAGCAGCTCCAACTCCAATCAAGGCGTTAATCATGGAGCCCTTCTTTCTGAAAGAAACAACAAAGAAATAGATTATCACACTTAATTTTTGAAGATTTGAACAAACTTTTCTGTACTTCAAGAAAACATTTGCATGTTATCGCGAGGATGGTGGTGTTATGGTCTGGTCATTGTTTATCATCGCACACAATTTCCAGCTATATGGCGGCAGTCTGTAATGGAGGCTGGACCAGACAATCCAGTGATCAACATCATGAGCATCAATTAGGATACGATGACATGTGTCAACCACCCGATCCCGTTAGTCGCCTCTTACGACCAGCATAATCAAGACCAATTCTAACCCAGATATTCACGGGTCGGTCTTATGAAGTTTGCTGTCTCATTTGCAGAAATGAGAAAATAATTTTCTGTTTTTATTCGAAAAGCACTTGACCGGCCAGTTTTCGTTAATTCATAATGTTGTATATGTCGTATACGTTTTTTGAGCTTAGGTGCATACATGCAAAGGAATATATGAGCTTTAATACTTCTGACAAATGGCCCTACGCTTGCCTCAGTTCGTCGTCATGGTATGTCACGATCATGGCAGATCGCATACCGCATACATCACAATAAGAGTTCTTCGGGTAAGGACCGCCTCCGTGGTGTAGTGGTTAGAGCGTCCGCCCGGATAGCGGAAGGTCGCGGGTTCGATCCCCGACCGCGTCATACCAAAAGACGTTTAAATATGGTACTTGTTGGTCTCTGCCTGGCGCTCGGCATTAATGGGTACAACAAGGACTGGTCGGCTCGGAGTCAGTATAATGTGTCTCAGTGGGATATTCATGCTTCACTGCGGCATGGTATCTCAGTGGGCTAGCACTATAAAACCAGCTTCAGTCTGGGCTAGTACAAGCAGCCGCACATACACATACACACGCATGCACGTCGTCATATGAGCGAAATATTCTCAAGCACGACGATAAAACCAATTTCACCTCACCTCTTCGGGTAAGTGACATTCGTGGTAGGTCACGTATATGGTGGATTGTCTAATGGTTAGATTACAATGAGAGTTCTTCTACAGGTCCCATTTATGGTAAGTCACGTACCCAGTGGAACGTATAGAGGGTAAGCCGTAATTAGAGTTAAGCCCACCTGCCAAAGGAGTCGGCCCACAGTCCCGCTAACAGACCCCCGACGGCGCCGCCGATAGCAAAGGCTGCAACCAGGACAGCGAACAGGTTGGTCTGAGTGTCCACGTCCATCTCCTGACCGTCACGTGCTATGGATGTGGCGTTCATAAACTCCTTGATCCTCTGAAAAATGTCACAATCGTAAATACGTTTACAACCTATGTGTGGGTTGTGTTTAATGTCACGTGAACAGAATTCCAGTCATATTAATACTCAACATCCGGGTTAGAATACTGATCTTCAGTGACCCATCCTTGTCGTAAGAGGCGACTAACGGGATCGGGTGGTCAGGCTGGCTGACTTGGTTGACACATGTCATCGTATCCCAGTTGTGTACATCGATGATCATGCTGGTGATCACTGGATTGTCTGGTCCAGACTCGATTATTTACAGACCGCCTCCATATAGCTGGAATATTGCTGAGTGCGGCGTTAAACAACAACAGCAACAAACAACAACAACAACAACCAACAACCAACAACAACAACAACAAACAACAACAAACAACAAAAACTACACACAGCTTAATGACGGATGAAAGCTTGAAGTGATGAAGGTCCTTAACTGTTTCTGAAACTCTCGAGAACAAGTGCTGACGAACCCAGACGCATTAAAGGGATTCTAACCCAGAATCGTGCCATGCGCTTAAGGGACATAACTCTGAGCAGGTAATTGCGGCGCCTTGCACGACTGGACCAAGACTGACCCCCCTGATGTATTGCTTCATTTTGAGGTTATATAAGCTGCGCTAGAAGCCGATTTACAGTTTACCATAAACAAACATACACACAAACAAACAAACTGATACATACAATACTACCATGTGGTATTAACAGTTACGTTAATTTGGTTGTGTACAGAAGTTTGCTGGTTGAATGGCTTATACAGTAGGGGTGTACACAAACGTATATCTCATGAAATCCCGTACACACTCTTGTTGAAACACAACCAGTTATAGTCTGATTGCAGTGAAAACAAAAAAGTAAATCAAATAAAGTGAAATTAAGATTGCGAATCCTCATAATTTTACCTTGCCAATTGAACATTTAATCTCAAAAGTTTATTCAAATTAGGATAAAAGTTGTTTAACAAACGATCATAGATTCAAATCGATATTACTGGTTTGTATTACAAGGGGGTTAGCGCAGTAGTTGGAACAGTGAAACAAATGCACGTGCGGTACGTGAAGAGCGTTAACTTATAACTAACCTTGTCGTTTCCGGTGTTTCATTTAATGTGCATACCCCCTTGTAATACAAACCAATAATAGCCATGTGAAACTATGTTCGTTTGTTAAACAACTTTTATCCTAAGTCGAATAAAATTCTGAGATTTAAATGTTCAATTGGCAAGGTAAAATCATGAGGATTCGCAGTCTTAATTTTACTTTATTTGTTTTACTTTTTGGTTTAAAGTGACATTCATCGGTATGTTTTCACTGCAAACAGACTATAGTCACTACAAGTGCAAAGGCCGCACAAAGAAGAGATATAGTATGAAATATTTGTGTGCGACTATTGGGTGTATCTTGAGACTGTCATCTGTCACGAAGTGTGAACACGATCAACTGCTACGTGACAAGCAAGTCACGATACATAAAACATGCTGACAACATAAGAAATTGCGTGTGACATCTTGTCACTGGTGGGTCACAGATAGCATAAATCATGCGTAAAAAATGTGCTTGTTTTGTTTTTGCTTGACGCAGCTAAGCCGCAGTCTCGCTATACCGCGCCGGCATGGAAACTACCGATTCTTGACAAGATAATCGGGTGATGGACCAGACGATACCATGACACGACATTGCATTTGCTCATTGTGCTGATAGTGTTAAAATAAGAAACTCGAGGGATTACATTTGCACGTTTTGCGTGGGTGAGTGAGTGAGTGAGTGGGTGGGAGAGTGAGTGAGTGAGTGTCCTGAATGTGCATTTTCTGGATCACCAGGACGTTGAGTGTGCACGCGCGTGCATGGCATGCGTGCGTGTGTACGCGCGCGCGCGCGCGCACGTGTGTGTGTGTGAGAGAGAGAGAGAGCGTGAGATATACAGAGAGTGAGTGAGTGGGTTTAATGTGTGGCCTGAATGTACATTTTCTGGTTCACCTGGCCAGAACGTTGAGTAAGCGAGTGAGTGAGTGACGCAGCTTCAGAACGCAATCTAACATTTCAGTAATCTTCCCATGTATTGTCAGTCCGCTGATAACGGGACTTTTCGACACACGGGTTATCTACATGTTTCTGACGAAGACATTCCTGGGCGACGGTAGGGCTATGACGCAGGCGTACAGGAGATACGTGGGTGGGGCATTGACTCACCACTGTCCAGACCAGCAACCGCGACTCACTGTACTAGATAATAGAAACTGGGGCCTCACCAAGGTGACAGGGACCGTTAAAAAGCAACACTCATTATCGCAACTTCTTATCCTGGCTCAGATGAGGTTGCAGAACAAGGCCCTGAATAGCTGACTCGTTTTGTAAGCATCGTCCTACTGATTTTATAATATGTTGGATTGTGTTCTCAATAAAACCAATCAGATAATTTTGTCGACTAGAATCGAGTCTCTGAAAATAAAATTTCAGAAAAATTAAAAAATTTAATAAAACGGAGTCTTTCTTTATTTCCAGACTACCCATATATCATTAGTTGTTTCTGTTTAACACCGCACTATGCATAAATCCAGCTTTTTGTCTTCGGTCTGTAAATAATCGGGTCTGGACCAGACAATCCTGTGATCAACAGCATGAGCATCGATCTGGGCAATTGGGATACGATGACATGTGTCAATCAAGTCAGCGAGCCTGACCATCCACCCGTCAGTCCCATCTTACGACAAGCACTGGTTGACTGATTATGTGTGTGATGTCTGCATCACACTGAGTGAGTGAGTGAGTTTGTTTTACGAGGCTTTTAGCAATATTCCAGCTATATGAAATGGGCTTCACATATTGTCGGGTCTTGTGACGAACGAACGCTTTAACCACTAGGCTACACCACCGGCCCTGCATAATGTACATGTACATGGGTGAGTGGATAACTGAGATCTCAGCTCAGCAATGCTAGACGGAGACTATGCTTGTTAGTGATCTTCAGTATGCTTTTGAAGGCGGGTTATTGAATTCAAAAATCTTGTCGTGAAGGTCTGGGTTAGAATTGATCTTCAGTAACCCATGCTTGTTTCGGGTTAGACTTGATCTTCAGTCACCCATGCTTGTCCCCCGTGAAGATCCGGGTTAGAATTGATGTTCAGTGACCCATGCTTGTCCCCCGTGAAGGTCCGGGTTAGAATTGATCTTCAGTGACCCATGCTTGTCCCCCGTGAAGGTCGGGTTAGAATTGATCTTCAGTAACCCATGCTAGTCGTAAGAGGCGACTAACCGGATCGGGTGGTCAGGCTCGCTGACTTGGTTGACACATTTCATCGGTTCCCAATTGAGTAGATCGATGATCATGCTGTTGATCACTATATTGTCTGGTTCAGACTAATTACAGACCGCCGCCATATAGCTGGAATATTGCTGAGTGCGGCGTAAAACTAAACTCACTCACTCACGAATTTGTTTCTGAGTTTATAATCTGCCGCCTGCTCTTAGTTTTCATTCCGACGCGAAATAGCAAATATTTATATAAATCTTACGCTTCCTTTCTCATAAAATTATGAGACAAGTCTGGTTGATCTCTCTTTGTCTACATTTATTAGAAGATGTTTAACAACGCGACACGATCTACTTCATTAATTTAATCTATATTTAATAAATTTCATAAAATACTTTTTTAATAGAAATAACCGGATTAGAGAAAATCACTTTATTTATTCATGTTATCTTTTACGCAAGCTCCTTGGTTGAGGAAGACATGCGAAACACTAAACAATACTGATGGCCTGATGCATATGACATGGTGTTATGTCAACAAACCTGTAGACAAAATACCCGTGCACTGTACATATTACATGGGGGATGACTTGCACTTTTCTCACGAAATCACGAGTGATGTCTGTCGTTAATTAGAATGAGACAACATGGCAATGCAGATAAGAAGAGTCAGGCTGGTTGGTTTGTTATTTTACACCGCACTCAGCAATACTCCAGCTATATGGCGGCGGTCTGTAAATAATCGAGTCTGGACCAGACAATCCAGTGATCAACAGCATGAACATCGATCTACGCTATTGGGATACGATGTAAACCAAGTCAACGAGCGCTACCACAGTCGTAAGTCTGTGTTAAAGTATGGGAGTTACGATCATCTTAGCGCTACGATCGCTTTGAGGAACGGGCCCAGACCACCCGATCCCGTTAATCGCATCTTTCGACAAGCATGACAACCAAATGACAATCAATTTTAACCCGGATCTTCACGGGTCAAGGAGAGTCTGAAGAATGAATACCAACTGTATATCCGGGCAAACATTGGCGGGAATGAAATTTAAAGAAAATACATTTGAGTAAAAAAAAAGCCACTCGATCAACATAATAAATGAAATTATGTTTGGAGAAGGTATACCAACTATATTACTCACACTTTGATAAGGATCACAAAAATTCACAACTTTACTTAAACGTAGATTTATAATTTGAAATTGTATCTATTTGAAACTGGATAAATTATAATATGGCAACCCTTCTTTAGGCAGACAGCCACTTTATTCTATTTCATGCACTTGATACATGAGTAACCATAAAAATGGTTCTCGTGGCACCAATCAAATCATGGAACGAGTCATTGACAAATAAACAACACCTGTCAATAGCAGGTATGGGATCCACAAGATGCAATGACATACTGAAACCTAGGAACCATGCTTACAATAAGCTTAGATATTTAAACCAAATTTGACCCCACATCATTGTTTTCTGTTGAATCCATGAGTTGATCCTTAGCAAAGTGTGAATAGTATATATATCCGGGCAAACAGAGGTGAGTGTTGGTAGGGAAGAACCGATGTTTTGCTCATGTATAATAAACTACGTATAAAACGAACTTTGTTATAACGAAATGACGGATATGACGAACTGTTTTGTCTCAAACACCTGCTGCATATTTTAGTTCGAATACGTGTAACGAACTACGCATATAACGAACTTAATTTAGTGGTCCCTTTGTGTTCGATATAAACGTAGTATACTTTATGACAGTGTGTTCAGTAGGAGAAGGTTTAGTACCTATAATCTCAACATATATGGGTATTGGAAGGTGAGGTGAGGTGAAATTGGGTTTAACGTCGTGCTTGAGAATATTTCGCTCATATGACGACGTGCATGCGTGTGTATGTGTATGTGCGGCTGCTTGTACTAGCCAGACTGAAGCTGGTTTTATAGTGCTAGCTCACTGAGATACCATGCCGCAGTGAAGCATGAATACCCCACTCAGACACATTATACTGACTCCGAGCCGACCAGTCCTTGTACCCATTAATGCCGAGCGCCAGGCAGGGACCAACAAGTACCATATTTTAACGTCTTTTGGTATGACGCGGCCGGGGATCGAACCCGCGACCTTCCGCTCTCCGGGCGGACGGGTATTGGAAGGAAAGAACGGGCTCGTATATATTGTTTTGCCATATATTGCAGGGCTCCAGATAAGGACCGTATCGGCGTTTGTACGGATATAAAATATGTACGCTACGGTAGGGAATAATTGAGAAAACGTAGCAGATACGCACCACAGCAATTAGTGGTGTGCGGAATCATTTACAGACCTATTTATCTAAAGCATATCAATCTGATTTCAAGCAGTGTCCCATATTTAAATTTACGTGATAGCGACACGTTAGGGTTTCCCTTGTCGTGTTTTGGAAATCCCGGTTGCTAAGGAAACCGCGTACAGCAGCGAATCATCTCGGTTAAATTTGATTGGTCAAAATTGCGCACGTGTATGTAAACATGGCGACACAGAAACAAATAACAAGTTACTTTCAGGAACAAGAATGTGCCTCGACGACTTGTACACGGTCAAGTTATCAAATTGCTGTACGAATAATTAACGAACGAACCAGTATCACTCACTTGCCTTGTCGTAGTCAGTCATTAAATTCCATTCAGTACTCTAAGTGTACTCTTACTTTTTGTACAGAACTCGTATATTGAAAACAATGAGGAGTGCGCAATCTGATGTTGAAAAATTATCTGGAGCCCTGTATTGTAAACCACGTTTGTAACGAACATTGTTACAGCGAAATTACCGATATAACAAACTGGTTTTGTCCCAGCCACTTGCTATAAACTTTAGTCGGAATGCATGTAACGAACTACGGTTATTACGAACTACTGGTCCATATGTATTCGACATAACCGTAGTTATCAGTACAATGCTGCAACACACATAACGGTAACATATACCTGTTACCAACGTTGGATTGTCGTTAATAAGATGAAGACGGTGCAGGTGTGAGTCAGTGAGTGAGCTGTGTGTAACGCCGCTTTTACGGCCTGCTCAATGTGGGAGGACAACCCGAAGTGATTCTGTGTATGGGTATGGCGCTAAAGAACCAAAAATCATAACTGGCTAACCAGGGCCTAGATTTTCGAAGCTCTCTTTGCGCTAAGATAGTCGCAAGTGCCATACATTAACATTGACTTATGACTATCTTAGGGCTAAGATAGCTTCGAAAATCTAAGCCCAGGATTCGAATCACAAACACAGGTTCCACAAGGGACGCAACTAATTGCAGCGCCTTAGGACGATGGTCCTGACGAACATGGTAACATAATATTGGCGAACCGGGAATCGGAAACAAATACAGGATTCTGGCGTGCCCAAGGGACGCAACTCTGCACAGCTAATTGCGGCGCCTTACACAACCGTTATCTCAGATTGTGTATGTAAAGATGGTGATTCTGGGCGTGTTTTCACAGATTTCACGTACCGCTTCAGGAGCGTTGATGACACCGGTGTTGTAGCCGAACTGGAACGAGCCCATAGCAGCAGCAAATATGGACATCAGAAGTCGCAGTGTCAGTTTCTGTGTAACAGAAAAAACAGTTATGAATAGACTTACTGAAAGCGTATGGTTTTACGCCGCTTTAGCAATATTACAACAATAACATGGCGGGAGACACCAGAAATGGGCTTCACACATTGTACCCATGTGAGATATCGAACCCGGGCCCTCGGCGTGAGGTGCGAACGCTTTAACCACTAGGCTACCCCACCGCCCCTAATTACGAATAGAGTGTTACCGTAAAGAACACAATAAGGTTTCGCCGTCCGTCGATCACGAACGGCGGTGGGGTAGCTTAGTGGTTAAAGCGTTCGGTCGTCACGGTTCGATTCCCTACATTACTGGTGTCCCCAGCCGTGTTATTGCTGAAAGCGGCGTAAAATCTTACTCAGTCAGTCCAAATGGATCTCACATATTACGTACCTATGGAAGCTTATTATTGCCACAAAATAAAACTGTAACGTGTTTGCAAATGATACAAACATCAGTTTTAATAACTGGCGAAAATCAGTTATCTATCTTTGTTTAATAATATTATTCGCCGCCCTCTTTCCTTCTGGTCGAGTTCGGAGATGAGAACCCCTAAATAGTGAGTGAGTTTTGACAAGACTTCTTCCATGTTAAAAGATATCACAAAAGTGAGTGAGTGAGTTTAGTTTTATGCTGCATTTAGCAATATTCCAGCAATATCACGGCGGGGGACACCAGAAATGGGCTTCACGCATTGTACCTATGTTGGGAATCGAACCCGGGTGTGCGAACGCTTAAACCACTAGGCTAACCCGCTGCCCGATCTACGTTATAAATTGATTTTAAGACGTTTACCAAGTAATCTAGGTTTGATATTTCATAAAGTAAGTTTTATAGAACCCAATTAGTGAAAATCACTTTATATTTTTCTATAAATCTTTTTTGGGTGAGGTTGGAGTTGAGAAACACTGATCAAGACGAATGGCCGTTGTGCATTTTATGTAAACAAACCAGCAGACAAATATTCGTGCACTACATATTACATGTGGGTGACTTGCAATTTTCTCATGAAATCATAAGTGATGTCTGTCGTTAACTAGGACGATACAGCCTTGAATTAAGATCGCGAGGTGAGGTGAGGTGAAACGGGGTTAAACGTCGTACTTGAGAATATTTCACTTATATGACGACGTGCATGTATGTGCATGTGCGGCTGCTTGTACTAGCCCAGACTGAAGCTGGATTTATAGTGCTAGCTCACTGAGATACCATGCCGCAATTAAGCATGAATACCCCACTCAGACACATTATACTGACTCCGAGCCGACCAGTCCTTGTTGTACCAATTAATACCGAGCTCCAGGCAGGGACCAACAAGTACCATATTTTAACGTCGTTTTGGTATGACGCGGCCGGGGATCGAACCCACGACCTTCCGCTCTCCGGGCGGACGCTCTAACCACTACACCACGGAGGCGGTTATTTACAGATAAGAGGAGTTTTGAGTAGGTATAAAACCTCCACAGCTGTACAAAAAGAGGTGGGTATTGGTGGCAACAGACCGGTACGTACTGTTTTGTCAGTATGTCTAAAATAAAGTGAAGTTTAAAAAACACGTCAGAATTTAATTCTTGAAACCCATTTGCCAGTTTCTGAGAAAGGATTTTACAAAATTCAAGATGCTATTTTCATGGATTATATGTAATAAAAATTTAAAATGAAACGGGGGAAAACTGAACATTTACACAACTGTATTTCATGGTGTACGACGTTCGTGCTGTTGATCACTGGATTGTCTGGTCCAGATTCGATTATTTACAGACCGCCGCCATATAGCTGGAATATTGCTGAGTGTGACGTTAAACAAACAAACAAACAAACAAACAAACATGGTCTACGGTCCACGTGGGATGTATCAGGACAGTGAGATTAATATCAAACAGCCAACAAAGGGACTTGATCTTGTTGTCCAAGCAGGCATCGAAGCAAAACAGCATTGAATCTTTGGTTATATATAATGCGTTATGGAGTAGATTATTGACATTTGTGGGTTTTTAATTTCTGTTTTTGTTGTTAAGATTATTGATAGTTTATGACTGCACGTGTCGTTGAATTGACTTACCCCTTGTGCTTTGGTTGGCTGGGACTGGACATCACCCCCCGACTTTTCCGTCGTTCCATACGTCATCGCCTTCGACACCTCAACCTTTTCACCCATAGTGGCGGTGGGGACAGTCAATCTGTCCAGGTGTTGCGTCACTCACTGTGTGGCTTGTCTGAAAAACATGACATAACAGTGAGTGAGTGAGTGAGTTTGACATAACAAAATATGATGACATAATGCCGTTACACAATTGAATGTTGCCGCCAGTGGCTGCACGGGCTGCAAGGGCTGCACGGCGGTGCGGTAGCCTAGTGGTTAAAGCTTTCGTTCGTCACGCCGAAGACCCGGGTTCGAGTCTCCACACGGGTACAATGTGTGCAGCCCATTTCTGGTGTTCCCTGCCTGATATTGCTGAAATATTGCTTAAAAATAAACTCACTCACGAGTCAGTTGCAAGATCGTCATAATTGCCCGCAACTACGGAAAACCAGTTGTGCCACTTTTGCAGAAAAAGCGCTTTTCAATCATTTATATAATTTTTTTTATTTTCGAAATTTTGAGTTTTAACTTGTAACTTTGCTTGTAGTATAGTAATTTCATTTTTTGCGTTATTTCAAGATTAATCAGTACTCTAAATTTCGAGCTATTTATCGTTGCTTCGATTATTTTCTAGCAATTTCAATTATTTTCTCGTTATGCAACTTATAAGAAAAACTGGAAGAAAATAATTGAAGCAACGAGAAAATATTCTAAATGTCGAGCATTGATTAATCACAAAAAGAAATTAAAAAGTAATGAGAAACTATTTTAAATAACGAGAAAATACCCGAAGCAAAGAGAACAAAGCAACGAGAAATCATTCGAAATTTCGAATTTTTGAATATATAATAACGAAAAAGTATTCGAAATTACGAAAAATAGATACCAGAAAGAAAATTGCGAGAAATTTTATTAAAAAAGAATCTGTGCTACAAACGTGTCACGCCTTGCCCCTGCATCTGTTCCCCCTAATCCCTTCAAATCGCAGGTAATTAAGACATTTCTTTTCATCCTCATCATCCACATCATCATCATCCACATCATCCACATCATCATCATCATCATCATCATCATCAGGACAGCAGCATCAGTCGAAGTAGTAGTAGAAGTAGTAAGTTTCCTGTAGTTTACGGTAATCGTAACTCAACGTAAAATCGCGGAATCTGGAAATACTTGAACCGTTACGAAAGAGCATACGAACTATTTATTCTGAACAACACCTAATGAATGAGTAAACATATGTTCCGACAGAGGCTGTTCCTTGTTATCAGATAAATGACGTCCATAAACCTTCTCATTACTGGGCACCATTTCTAAACACCATTCGTTCCGTGAAGATCAGGGTTAGAATATCTTCTCAGCGAACCGGGCTTCTCATAAGACGTGACAAACGGGATCAGCTTGTCCGGTTTCGTTGATGCATGTGGACGTATCTCAATTGCGTAGATCGATGCTCATGCTGCTACACACTATAGTCCGTTTGGCTCAAAAGCGGACCGATGAATTGCAATCTAACTCGAAAACTAATAAACATAAAATACTCAATGAACGCTGATCATAATCAAAACATCATACCAACTCTCTGAGGTTTTTGCAGAATTTTTGTCTTAAAAATAGAAAAGTTGTTTAACAATCTATCATTAAAATATTGACACAGTTCACTATTTGTTACGAGGGAGGAGTGCAGAGAAAGGGACAGCCAGGTGTTCGAGAACGGATGGAGACGGCACAGCACAGGTTAATGAATAAATAACTTTGTCTGTGAACGTGCTTCTTGAACACCTGGCTGTCCCTTTCTCTGCACTGCTCCCTCGTAACAAACAGTGAACTGTGTCAATATTTTAATGATAGATTGTTAAACAACTTTTTATTTTTAGGACAAAAATTCTGCAAAAACCTCACAGAGTTGGTATGATGTTTTGATTATGATCAGCGTTCATTGAGTATTTTATGTTTATTAGTTTTCGAGTTAGATTGCAATTCATCGGTCCGCTTTTGAGCCAAACGGACTATATATTGTCTGGTCCAGACTAGATTATTTACAGAACGCCGTCACACAACTGAAGTGCGGCGTCAAACAAACAAACAAACAAATAAATGCCATTCAAAGACTGACAGAGATTGTTGAGGATTACTTACGATAACGCACCCGCGCTCCTCCTGTAACTATTGAACAGGTCTGCAGTGACTGAGATCAACGACTGTGTCCACTACAATACCAAATGGACCTGGGATGACTCAGCATGGACGCCATGTTACTAAGGCCTCTGACCTGTACGGCTATCTGCTACAGCGTCAATGGAACACTGTCACTCATTATCGTCACGTGATGGTGTTTACATATGTAACAGTCACATGTGGGCAACGCGGCAAGATTAGATCTGAGAACCGAGCGAACTGTAGAGTCGCATCATCAGTGAGGGATCGAGGGGGTGTTTGTCATTTTAAAAATATATTTTGTCCTCATAATATTGAAAACGAAATTGTCACAGATTTAAACACAACACAATTATTCGCTTAAAATTCCAATTGTCCTAAAAGTGTAAAATACAGTCGAAAAAATAACTGACCGAGGGAGTTTATTTTTGTCTTCATAACATTGAAAACTTAATTTAAACTTTGTCACATATTTAATCAGAATACATATATTCGCTTGAAATTCCAATTGTCCTAACTGATTAAATACAGTCGGGAAAAAACCCAACTTGTCTCGTAATTTCGGGAGCAAATTAGAACGACTCTCCGATCACAGGGGCTTAACGAAAAATGGCCCCCTTCCAAAAAGAACGAAAAAGCACGTAGTACCATGACAACATTTTTCATGCAATCTTACCAAAAACACGGGCTCCAAAAAGCACGTGGTGTCAGTAATGTCTTCAACACGTGTTGATCACAGAGCTAATGTAATCTTGGAGCTGGATGGTCTTGTAAATCACAACGAGGGGAACATTCCACACATATTGTCAACTCCTATGATATCTGTGACACATCCAACTGTTGACATTTATGACGAATTACGCTTAACAGGTTCACTGGATGGAATACTAGTATATATGACCGACAGCCGATCGGTGCTGTACTCTACTATGGACTCTTATATAATGCGGTTACTCGGGCGGTAGGGGTAGCCTAGTGGTTAAAGCGTTCGCTCTTCACGCCGAAGCCCGGGTTCGATTCCCCACATGGGTGCAATGTGTGAAGCCCATTTCTGGTGTCCCCCGCCGTCATCTTTCTGGAATATTGTTAAAAGCGGCGTAAAACTAAACCCACTCACTAATGGGGTAACTCAAAACGACAAATATGGCGATTGTTGCGTCACAATTATGTGACGTCGCACAGTATGACGTTTTGTATGGGTTTGTACAGGATCGCGTCTGGCTAGTCATATAACTAGATTCTTCACTACAATCATACCACCACCACCAACAACAACAACAACAACAACAGCAAAATAACGATGACGACGACTACAACGGCGGTAATACATCACGGCCACGTGAAGTCTGTCAAACAAAGAATGAGAAACGACATGAGTTTGTGCGAGTTAACTTTCGGTTGTGTCCATCTGAGTGCATTATCTGGGCGGTGGAGTAGCAATGTGGTTAAAGCGTTTGCTCGTCACGACGAAAATCCGGGTTCGGTTCCCAACATAGGTACAATGTGTGAACCCCATTTCTGGTGTCCCCTTCCTTAAAATTGCTGGAGGGGGCGGTGGGGTAGCCTAGTGGTTAAAGCGTTGGCTCGTCAAGCCGAAGACCAGGGTTCGAATCCCCACATGGGTAAAATGTGTGAAGCCCATTTCTGGTGTCCCCCGCCGTGATATTGCTGGAATATTGCTAAAAAAGAAGCGGCGTAAAACCATACTCAGTAAAATTGCTGGAATATTGATACAACCGTACTAAATTACACTAGGGCTGATTATCGATGTAATTAAGAGATCGATAATCGTTAACTAAATATCTATCAGTTATCGATAAATATTGGAGAAGTAACTTTGAACAAAAATGCCAAAAACGTTCTGAAAGAAATGAATATATTTCACACAACTTGTGAGTGGTGACAAAACTGCGTTCAGAACATAATTTAGAAGCTGCCCATGATTGAAAACCTAACATTTTGTATTGTGTGAGTGAATTAAAACTATATTATGTCACAAAAATTATGTACGATATTAACGATGACACCATTCTCATATCGATAATCTTTAATATTTTTTCATATCGACGATATTTCCGATAATCGATATTTTTAGCCAGTCCTAACTTACACACTCACTCATTATCCTTGTATAGCCAAAGGAAGGTAATAAATGCTAACGAGGCTTAGGGTATGCTTGGACTGACCTATTTGTCTTCTGCGAAGAGTGAGTGAGTGAGGATAGTTTTACGCCGCACTCAGCAACTTTCCAGCTACATGTATATGGCGGCGGTCTGTAAATAATCGAGTCTGGACCAGACAACCCATGGATCAAAAGCATAAGCATCGATCCGCACAATTGGGATACGATGACATGTGTCAACCAAGTCAGCGAGCCTGACCACCCGATCCCGTTACCCGCCTCGTACGACAAGCATGGGTTACTGAAGGTTCATTCTAACCCGGACTTTCACGAGTTTTTTCTGCGAAGAATGGTGGTGTGTAAGTGGTGCTCAAGAGATGAAAGTTTCCTGAACAAAGATCCTGCCATAACTGAATGCTATACAAATAAACGGCTGTACGTACGACCAACGTGGTGATGTTTGTCAAAGATTAAACCCAGATTCCAAGGCAAGAAGTATGGATATTGCGTACAAACATAGATATCATGATTAAACATACAGGGTTTAGCACGGATCGTCAAAGTCCGTCACAGAGCTTTTGAACAAATAAACGTACAGATCGAGTATCTGGACTTCTGCATATCAAACACCTGTCTATCAAAACCCCCAGGCATTGCAGGCACGGGGACTGAACATACAATAACGCTGTGACTGCAGAGTGAGTGAGTGAGCTGAGTTTTACGCCGCACTCAGCAATATTCCCGCTATATGGCCGTGGTCTGTAAATAATCGGATCTGGACCAGACAATCCAGTGATCAACAGCATGAACATCGATCTACGCAACTTGGATGCGATGGCATGTGTCAACCAAGT